CCGTGATAAAAATGTAAGGTTTGGAGTAAAAGTATCGACCACTACTACGTCTGTCGTATATGCCAACTGACCTACTTTCGGTAGGACAGTCCTTCTTAGAAATAAAATATCCTCCTTCCTACTCAAATGTCAAGTAGAACGCAAAATATCCTACATTTCGATACATCTTTGTTTCCAAGTCTACAGGCGACATTTGAACAGTGCTTCTCTGAACTACGTAATGAAAATATTCTATTATAGCAGTCATTCCGTTTCTAATAATATATTGCCAAATTATATGGATTTTAGCAATATTGTTGATAGTTTGAATTTAGATAATGTTTTAGAAGAATTATTCGAAGAATTTGTACCAGTTAGAGAGAATTTTCATTTAATTGCGTCCAGTGAAATGTGATAGTATCGTATATATTTAGCATTCCAACATCGTCTGCTTTTACAGAAAGAATATTTTTTGTAATGGGATTGAAATGGCGACCACAAAGAAATCGCTGCACTATTGATTTACTAAGAAGCGAATTATTAATTTATATAAATAACAAAAGTTTGTGCTCTGAATTCTATGAGAGAATTTTAAACAATAAAACTTTATTGATTGCTGCAAAGGAGTAAAGAAAATATAAATTTAAAATGGGAAAAAAACTAAAGATAATTTTTTGTGTTTTCTATTATGTATTGTTACGACAGCGGAAGTCACCTGCCGCTGGTGACACATTATGAATTTCTCAAATGATCGGGGAGGCCCGAGTGTATTCAAGACGCCCCCTTCTTTAGTATACAAGCCTGGCAGCGAAAACGGGCGGCATAAAATAAAAATGCATGTTTTATATTCGTCGAGAGCGAAGTTATCGAGATTGTGAATTGCTGTGATTTATAGCGTGTATTATAAAAGTTGTTTAGTTTAAAGTGACGAGAAACGTACTGATTGCGGGACTACTGTGTACTAAAAGTTTATATCGAGGAAAAATAAACTGGTTTAATCAAGAAGGGAATTGTATCCGTGAAGTTCCTCGGAAAGAATTTATACCAGAAATTAACAAACAGTCAGATACGTAACAGTATATATATAATATAGGTGTCTTTTTTTTCTGATTATATTTATTGTAAGATCTTATTTAGTATTAATAAAAATATGTGAAACGTTTCCTTTGTGTTTGTTTTACTACCAACAGTTATCGAGTTTTATTTCACTTAGGTTAGGGGCTGTCCATGTGACTAAATGTGAGGGGGAGTGTGGTCAAAAGTCGCATAAATCGTTTGATGTCCTTTATCGACGGCCCATTACAAAAAAGTCCTACTTCAAAATTTTCAAGAGTTGGCAACCCTAATCGTATCCCAACTAGGCCTGGTATTGGGCAAAAGGCCTTTTCTACACTGAAAACAGCAGATATAATGTGGTTGACATGTTACATTCATCTTTACTTTCATTTATAAGTTCTAATGATTGTAAATTGAGTGTTAAAATACTTACGTTTATTTTGCGTAGCCTACAAAGTCGTTTCTTTTTGAGTTGTTACATGTTACAGATGAGAAAATGTATTGTAAACCAGTGATCTCCAGTAGGCAGCCCATGAGCCACATTCGTGGCTTGATGTATGATCAGATATTGCAAATGTGAGCAGAACTGTATTTGGGGAATGATTTATTACCCCAACAAGCTTAGGTCTAGCTCTTGCTTTTATGGTGATTATCTAGTTTTCATGTATGGAAAATAATTGGGGATCACTGTTCACTAATGGCAATAAAATTCCTTATCTTTTGATTGTTTTGTTACAGGGGAAATATTTTTGTTTAAAAGATTTTGATATTTTACAATTTTCAGATTAACCGGAAAGAGTAGGATTACAATACTACAATATTGTTCAAGTTTTCAATGGTACAACACATCAGTTTGGTTAAGCTAAATCTCACTTGAAATCTGAATTTGAAAACATTTTATATATCAACTCGTCATCTAACTTTTATAAAAGTCAGTGTGTGTCACATCACATCATGCTTGATTTTTCGAAATAGGAGGAGTCATAAAAGCCAAAATGCCTTTATTCAGGTAGAATAGTTTGATTATTGCCTGCCCATTAGGATTTTTGTAATGGGGTGCAAGGAAGCCATGAAACCTTATAACTGTAGTGAGTGTTGGTATAATAAGCCTAAAGTAAAGTAGTAGTGAGGGATGACCTAACCTAGAGCCAAATACGTAAAATTTATCATGAAATTAAAAATATCAATTGAACTTTAAACTTAAATCATTTCTGAATTAAGCTATTTTCTGTTATATCACCAAAGTTTTTAATATAAAAACAAACCTCTTTAATGAAAGGAGACTAAATTAAGATATCAACAAATATTTTCAGTTTTGTTATCTATACATTTCATTTTATACTTTTGTTGCTAAGCTACATGACATAAAAGCTAATGTTGGAATGTATTGTTACCAAAATGCACTGGCTTTTCTATATATATATATATATTAGAAGTTGTTAATCTGATTTTTATCAATAATTTATTTATTTATTCTACGAATACACCACAAATGATCTTAATTTTGATTAGCTCACAAAAGAATTTGCCAATGTTTGACTGCCTCAACTGCACTTTTCTTCCTCTTTGTTAGCCAAACTTGATTTTGCAAAAGTTATTTATTTCAGTTAGCAATGAAATGTAAGGTTAGGGTATACTATGGGGTAGGGTGGTAGTACTTGCCCCATCATTTTTGAAGGGCTCTACAGTAGGTGATCTTATAGTTTAAACATTATTATGCATTCACATTTCCATAGTAGCAATATAACTAATCAATAATATTTCAATTATAAACAATATTACACATTCTTATACCAAAGCAATAACATAACTCATAATATTATAAACAATGTTACATAGTCATATACCCACATAAAATAACTGTATGACACTGTTTATGCTCTGTCTCATACATACACACATACAGTAATATTATAATTATCATTAATGTTATAACCTAAACAATATTACATAGTCATATACCCACATTATTGTGGTCGGTATACAGGTGCTCTGTTTGATGTCTTCTGGACAGTAGCAATATCCCTGATTTTGAAAAATGTTCGAGAGCTTTAAACAGCTCCTGCCCACCAGTACACATGAGCTGTTAGTTTGCTGGTATCTTATCTCTATTCTTTGTTTACAAAATTAGACAGTAAAAGTTAAAGTACCAGAGACATAGCAGCTGACAGGGTCATGTAAAGTTATCTGTGATCTTGTCCTATGTAAACAGCATCATGACAAACGTGACAGGGGCTCTAATAAAGCAATGTAAAACATGAAGGCCTGCACTAGGTATCTAAGGTTTTCTTGGTCGATAGACAGGTGTTTTGTTTGATGTCCTCTGATCAGTATACAGATTTTCCATGTGATGTCCTCTGTCAGTAGGTGTCTAAGGTTTTCTTGGTCGATAGACAGGTGTTTTTTTTATGTCCTCTGGTCAGTATACAGGTGTTCTGTTTGATGTCCTCTGACAGTAGGTATTTAAGGTTTTCTTGGTCGATAGACAGGTGTTTTTTTTTATGTCCTCTGGTCAGTATACAGGTGTTCCATTTGATGTCTTCTGGCAGTAGGTATCTAAGGTTTTCTTGGTCAATAGACAGGTATTTTGTTTGTTCTCTAGTCATTATACAGGTGTTTTGTTTGATGTCCTCTGGTCGGTATACAGGTGTTCCGTTTGATGTCCTCTGGCAGTAGGTATCTAAGGTTTTTTTTGGTTAGTGAATTGATTCACATGATGTTTACTACAATGAGTTACTTCAAGTGATATTCACTACAGTTAATTACTTTTATGCAAGTACTTCTCCAAACACTCATTTCATTTTGATTTTATCTTAATTTTTTGCTTCTGATATAAGTACTTGTACTATTTCAAGAATGTTTATTGATTCATTTTGTTCCTCTAAGTATGAATATATATTTACCCTTATTTATTAAAACTCGTACATGGCCAAGCTGTATCAGATCTAATATTAACTTAAGTTTTTGGACCATGAATTGAGAAAAATATATGGATAAGACTAATTTTTGCAAATAGTGAAGTAATTGCAGCTAATCTTTCCATTTCTCACTAGTACAGTATATTATTATAGAAAATACTGAAGGTATGCAAGTAAGCTGTACAATGACCAAGTATTTTGTATTTAAACAGAGCAATGTACCATATTTTTATGCTATCATAAGTTTACCAGTGTATGACTGTGAAATAATATTAAAATGTTCTGTATTGCTTGCCACAATTTGGTCAAGTTGTTTCATTTCCATTTGACCTCGTTAGTTTACATATAAGTCCATAGAGCCTTAATAGTTTTAACATTGGTACTCTGTGCAGTCCATGCCATAATTTTGGTGTCACCTTTTTCCCTTCTAGGCATCATTTCATCACATTTGTTGCATTAGCAGTAAAAGTGCCATCAGTTTTGTGTAGCTATCCAACACCATTGGCTGAGATGCAGCCAACATTCTGTTTGTCCCCAAACATGCTTCACTGTACATTAACCATGACACAGTTTTCCCAGTTAACAGATTCTGTTGAATTTGTATTCATCTGTAAAGAGTACATTCTTCTGGTGGCTTTGATCATTCCATTGATTTAATCCTGGTGACCATTTCTGACTTTATTTGATTATCTCTCGTAAGTAGTGGTTTTTGAGCAGCTAAGCAATAGCTGAAACCACTGCACAATGATATGTATTCTTACTGTTCTGGAAGAAATATTCAAACCAATACTTACAGCTAGAACATTGTCAAGATATCTACTTGGATTGTCATGTATCATTTAAAGAGCATACTCTGAGTTACTTAATAATTATTCATGGTTAGTTTTTACATACTACATAAGTTTCAGATGTTGTTTATCTCTCTACTGTTTTTCAGTACTAACTTCTAGTTATGTAGTAGTAATGGTTTTGTGGAAGTTTTATAATATAGATATATATATATAATTCTCTTTTGCTATTAAGTTTTTCTTTTTTTACATTTTTCAGAGATTGCCGAGTTGTCAGAGATCCTCAGACTCTCAAATCAAAAGGTTACGGGTTTGTCTCCTTCGTTAAAAAAGCAGTAAGTAACAGGATTTCTCTAGTCTTATTTCACAAGCATTTACAGTTTATTCTATTGAAGACGTAGGATTTTGAAAATTCACTTTTTTAGTGTTCGAACCTAACAATTTCCAATCTTGTTATTCACTTAACTTATCTGATATAATAAATTTTGTTTTAGTTAGGGCCATTGTTGCTTAAAACTAAAATTTAACACAAGTATAAAATATGCTGTTAAATTATCTTTTTGCCATAAATTTCCTGCTTCATATAATGGCCATTAGTTGCTTTGGTAGCACAGGCATCATTTTACCTAATAGGTGAAAAACCACAGTAAGTGGAACAAACTGTCAGAAGACTGATATTAGGGAAACTAGTTTTGACATGTTTGTGCATCCTTGTCAGTCTTCAAAAGACAACATGAAACTGAAGAGGATGCACAAATGTATCAACTAGTTTCTCTACTATCAGACTTCTGACAGTTTGTTTCGCTTATTGTGGTTTTTCACTAATTGCTATACACGATATTGTGTTCTTTTATTATTAGCTATCTAATAGCATTATAACACTTTGAAAGACTTTACATGAAAAACTGTACATATATTTATCATTAATATCCACATCACTACTATACATAATTTTGGAGATAATTATGTATAAATAGTAAGCATTGGAACTCACTATCAACAAGGTTACACTGATTTATGTAAAGAATTTTATGTGTAAATAATACACATTACAACCTATTAGTTAAACATTACAGTACTTTGAACAAACAAAAATGAAATGAGCAGCAATTACATAGTTCAGCGTGACACTTGTGGAGAAAATGACTGATCTACAAATGTAGCACATATAGAAAAAATGATGTTAAAGACTTACTCTTTTGGTTTCAGATAAGCTCACACAGCTTTTTTTAGGGGTTTATATGCTATCCAGGAGAATTGAGATGGATGTAATATGATTGGTTGGTGGGTCTTGTTTTCATCAGTCTTTTTTTCTGCAGTTCTTATGTTCTTGTCCCATTATGTATTCCAGTTTCTTCAATGTAGAGAGACCTATATCTGTGAAGCTGGAAGACATTTTGGGATAAGAATAATAAAACATAAATAATACATAAGACTAATGAAAACATAGAATTTTGCCCTAACACAACATGCCATGTTGACTGGACATAATATAGACTGGGACAATTACAAACATATCAGATATATTCTGTAAAATAAGAAAAGGCAAAGAATCTTTCTACATCAGAATGATGAAACCATTATTAAACAGAAACTCGGTCCTGGAATTCATCAGTTTGTGGCTATCATTGGTCAACTCATCTCTTGTTCCACCAATCACATTACAAGAATTACCAACCCATCATGGTCACCTCAATGCTTTCAGGAAGCATATAAAACCCAGCAAAACCAGTGCAAGAGAACCTGAAGATGAAAGACAGAAGTCTGTTAAAATGACTTTCCATTTGTGTTAATATTGTAGATTAGTTTTCTGGAACTTTCTCCAAAAGTGTCACACTGAACTAGTCAGTTATTGCCCATTTTGCCTTTGTTTGTTCATCATGAAGACTCTGCCAAAATTATCTTTAAAAGAATTATAGAAATTCACTATAACCTTCACTGTTATTTATAGTGTTATAGCACAACTACTTACTCCATGTAATTTATTTGTTTTGTTGTTGTATCAGCTAAAATTTAAATGCTTGAATCTGAAAGTGACTGCTGTGTAGCAGGAAAAACTTGATAATACAAAAAGAATTGTTACATGGTATAAAACTGAAGATTTTTATTTTTTCCTACATATTAAACACATTATGAGCCTCAAAGAATACCTAATGTTATGTAACCATAACAACTTGCTATAGATACTCCTGCCAGACATAGATAAAACACTAGTATCATCATAAACTTACAGTTGAAATTATCAGTATTTAACAGAACAATACTTAAGAGTGTTTCAAAAAGTGTGTTGATATTATTGAAAAGACACAATTGTTGTAAATGTAATAGAAATGTTAAATTAGACTGTGCACATAGAGCCTTGAAAGCTAACTCCACTAATAAGGGCAAAAAAGCAGTTGCTTGAGTACCCTGTGCATGTCACTGCACATTTGATTTATCTTAAAATATTAATAGAAAAGCAACACATAGCCACAAATGATTTCAGTACAGTGGATTTTTAAAAGTTGCTATAAACAAAGTGGTGCAACATGGTCACAAATGATTGCATATAGCTTCTGCACCAGTCAAAATTTGGTTTTTTCACATTCTGGATATTTTCTTACAGGATGTATAAGACATGATTTTTTTTAAGAATTATTTAGTCAAGAAGTCTCTAACTACACAGTAACCTTCCATTAATAGTACTTGTTTTTTTGACATTCTAATTTTGTGATTTACATAGAGTGAAGCTAAAACAAGTTTTAATCTCTTTCCAGGATGCTGAAGTTGCTATTTCCCAGATGAATGGCCAGTGGTTGGGAACCAGAGCTATTCGAACAAACTGGGCTACCCGTAAAGTATCTGCCAACAGAAGCCAGTTCGAAGGTACGTTGTGTACTATTGACACAAACTGGGCCACCCGTAAAATATCTGCCAACAGAAGCCAGTTCCAAGGTAAGTTGTCCTGTTCATTATTGACACAAACTGGGCCGCCCGTAAAATATCTGCCAACAGAAGCCAGTTCAAAGGTAAGTTGTCCTGTTCGTTATTGACACATACTGGGCCACCTGTAAAGTATCTGCCAACAGAAACTAGTTTGAAGGTATGTTGTCCTGTTTGCTGTTGACAAAAATTGAGTCAGATGTAAAGTATTGACCAACTGAAGCCAATTTTGTAAGCAAGTTTTACAGTTCACTGTTTATTGTTTTATATTGGCATTGAAAAGTTTTTGTAATGACATTTTATGAGTTATTGTGTATAATAAACTTGAGATAACATTAACTGGATGTCTTATTATTTTGTTTGTTTCCTTATGCATGGGTTAACTGATGAAATGTGTATGTGATACTGAGTAAAACCGTTTTTTTAAGGATTACAGAAATATTACAGGGGTTGAGTGTATTATGTTAAAATAATTTTGGAATCTTATCATTCTGTTGCAGCTCATATCTCCATGTTCAGTCATGTTCCATTTTATGATTGTGCATTTTGACAATAGCTTTTCAGTGTAGTTTCCATTACAAAAGCCTGTCATGTCTAAAGCACACCCTTTTGCATGCTTTCTATGAGCCACCTTGTGTATGAAGATGAAAGTTTCCCAATTCTCCTTTCAATAGTCTGACAGCACAAAAATGCATAGATGCAACTTGAATGGTTTGTCTTGATATGGAATATAATGAATAAATATGTTTCATTTTCCTGCTGCTTGAGCGTCAGTTGAACATACATGTTGTTGGAGCAACTTGTGTACATGTGGTTTATTTTGTTTTTAATGATGGAAATTCTTCTTGATTATTTTGCATACTGTTGTTGTCTAGAGTATGTGAACGGCTTTTGTCACTGATCTTTGTGTTTGTAGATTCTCACTTGTTACAACATGCCACACACTTAGTTTGCCATGGCTGAAGTATAACTTGTTACAGGTCTCTTTCTGGATAGTCTTCACACCCCAAGTTGATCCATATCCCTTTGTTTTTCAATTCCATTAAGTAGAAGGGATACCCTCCAAATCAAAGGAAACTAGAGAGTCTACTCCCCCTACTCAAAAGCTGAAGCCAATTCCCATTGATTTCACTCCTATCTATGAATTAGCAAGAAGAAATCCAAATGACCAATACTTTGTGCTCCTATGAACAATCCCAAAGAACAAGATTATCCAATCATCTAGTCATGCATAGCATCATCATATTTATGGAAGTCCAACAAACATTCCCTACCCTGAAATACAAAGTTACAAATACACTTGAAAGAAATTTTTGCCAGTTTTAGCCTCTTATGAATTAAAAATTTGTCCATGATAAAGGTGATAATTGTTGAATCTAAAGTAAGGTAAGGGCTCGTTCTGCAAACTCCTGTATCTTTTCAATTCCAGATACTTAACTGGCATAAAATCCAGTTATGTTTATTTTAGTAAAAGGGATCAAAAGTCATTCTGTATATATATATATATATCTTCTCAGATAGGGGTTTATCTTGTTCTAGGAAGGATCCATTAAACCCTCTGAATCTCAACATCTGATAAATAATTATATATATATATATAAATTGTCTAAGATTAAAAGCCATAGACTTTCAACTTTTATGAGTGAAAATTCACTAATTATCATTTATCTTTCATGAGTAATAAATAACAGTAACTGTATAATGTCTGTTCAAAATTAATATTCAACAGACATAGATACAACTCAGTAGTTCTTTAATTCATCTTGCTTCTTTGCCAAATAGACCAATTATGTATAAATAATGACTTGCAAAAATAAAGACCAAAGCCACTGGCAATTGTCAGAAACCAATTATTTTTCTTTCATTTATTTACTGGCCTGACTGTCAGAACCAGGATCGTAAAGTAACCCCTGAAATCAACTTGTATCAAATGATGTTCACTGATAGGATGGGGATGGAAATTCAGACAGTCATACCAGCTAGAAAGGTTTCTTCAAATACCTGTGGTGGACTTTAATTTTATCATAGTATTTCAGAAGGAAATATTTTTGACAACTGTCTTCAACCTTTTACACATTATGGATAGCCTAGACCTCATTTTCATACAATAACTGCCCCATGGCTTAGCGATAAACCTGAAGGCTTATACTGCCAAAAACTGGGCTTCTATACTGGTTGTGGGCACAGCAAAGATATCCCATTGTATAGCTTTGTACTTAACAATAAATAAACAAGTAAATAAACTTTCAGGAATTTGGGCATAAAGGATCCCTTACAATGAACAAATAATCTTTCAACCACTTGCATCTGTACGTTTTTCCTTTATTTAAAAAAAAAAAAAAATTAAATCGTTATTTATCTTTTAAAACACAATCAAAATGAAGGTATTCTACAAAAGATGGGGCTTTTAGTAGAGGTTTAGGGCTCTCAGTGAAAGAGAATGAAATCTGTAAAGGCCCATGAAAGTTTGTTATAGACAAAAAACATGACATTAAATATACATAACAATAATGCTATTCTTCCCAGGTCACTTGTTCTACACATGTAACGGTTGGTCATTCCCATGAAAAATAATGGAAGTTATATCCTCAACGTCTCCCCTGGTCCTACGTATGCTTGTATACACATAAATTTTGAAAATTACTTAACTAAAGAGAATTGTATGCAGGCAGAATTTTAACATTCTAATTTTGGTTGAAACTTGTTCTCTAGAAAATAAACCTAGAACAAGTATATCTTCTTAAGTCAGAATAGTATAGTTCTGGATAGGTATGTTGTGTCTTATTTACTTCTCAGTTTCAAAACTTTTACTCTATAGTGTTGGATGAGCTTTATTGAAAACACACGAGCCTGAAGAGTATATTAACAGATGAGTTATTAATTCACATTGTTTTTAAGTAATAACCTATTTCTCTGCATTTAGTAAGTCTTTTTAGTTATGATGTCTAATACAATATTCTAAATCTTTCAAACCTTGTGAAGCATTATATGGCAGCAGTATCCAGTACATTTTGTTAGGTTTTGTTTTCTAGTATATCGATCAAGTTTGTTTGCTATGCTGCTCTATGTATGTTTGTTTCTTTTATTATTTCCACATGTATACAGTTGGGTTACTTTTGAATAGAAGTTCTGAATTATTATAAATACACAATGCACATTTTTTGAATAATTTTCACCTCGCATAGTTTAATCTGTTTTTATTAAAGAACAGTACTGCAGTAGAAATACAGATTTTGCAAGGGGTTTCCATAATCTGACAAATAAAAAAATTCTATGCTGATTTGTTATATCTTCTTATATGTTCTTTAAGGTAATTCTCAAGCTCTTAGTTTTGATGAGGTATATGCCCAGTCAAGTCCAACAAACTGTACCGTGTACTGTGGGGGCATTAGCCAAGGACTTTCAGGTGAGTTTTATACCATTATTTGGTTGTTAGATGCATTAGTGATAAATTATGATACCCGCGTTTTAAGTGTTGTGTGTTTTCCTTTATGATTTTATTGGTCCATATTGTTGTGTTGATACTCGCAAGCACCAACTGACCATAAATTTAGATATCCAGTATTAAACAATTTAATTCATTGTTGTGTTAGATGGAATACCTTAAATTTGATATATCAGCATCACTGTTAGTCTAAAAACCTAGTTAATGATAAGATAAACAGTAGTTACCTTTTAATGAAATACCTTGAAAGCTTTCTAATTAGAAGAATTTTTGCTTCATCATTGCATAATTTCATCTTCTGTCATTTTTGATACTGGAATCATGTTTTAACTTTAACAAGATATTAAGTGTAATCTTCTCATGATACATAGCAGGCAACAAACAGTTAATACTAACCACAGCATGCAACTAATAATTAATACTAATTGATTTTTCTCATCTAAGTTGATGTGCAAAATTAGTAATAAACACAAATATTTATTAATATTTGTGATCACGATGATATGTAAAATACACTGGTTGGCCACTTTATTAGGATCTACACACATTTCTCAAACATTTCATTTATTTGAATTTTTCAAAGGAATTTGATTTGTCAGGAGATTAGTTGAGGACTATAAATGTAGAGTGCTACAAGGGTTAGTATGCATGGTAAAAGGCATGAGAAAGAATGCCTCCAGATTTCAAAGCAATATGAGAGACCATATCTTTGACCATCCATTCAGAAATATATTTCATCAAAGCTCATCAGTAGAAAGTAAATACAACTACCACCAAGGTAACTGTGGTCATCAACTGCTGGTGACTGATTGCAGGAAAATATTATTGTGCAGGCTTTTAAGATTTAATGGGTATCAGGCATGTTCCAGTTGACTTAATATTTTAAGTATGGCTGGAATTTGATGTTATAAAAACTTTTGAACAATAACCAATAATCAGTCTACAAAATGACTTATTTTATATGCAAAGAAGAAACATGGCTCGAATGGTGTAAACTGTAGATGTTTGATGTTGCCTGAGGAGTTTTGTTTTTTTCTGTAGTTATTATGAAGTTCCATAAACACTTGACTGTGCTTGTGTTGTTTAGAAGGTGAAAGATGCATGAAATGGGGGTATCATTGTTGTGGTAAAGGTTGGATGGTGTGATTCCTTCGTAAAAGCAAATAACAACTAAAGTGTACCTAAATGCTTTTGCCATTTGTATCCACCAAAGGTTCTTCTATACCATGATGAGTTCAGATGGTCCAGTGCAATATTTGGTGATAGTCTTAATAAAGTAGACTAACATCTAAAGTGTACCCCACCACTGTTGTCATTTATATCGTGTGTTTTGTGCAAAGGCTGTTCCACACCATGCTGAAGTCAGGAGAAAGGCTGTCTAGTGCAGTATTTGGTGGGAGTCTTAATAAAGTGGACTGTTGGTTTATTTGTATTTGTTTACTTAAAAATATATATTTTCTAGTACGTATTCTCAAGTAATACATAGTTTCAATATAGTAATAATTTTTGTGTTTCATCTGTATATACAAGTTGTCATGGTTATTCTGAGCTTTAATATTAAAGTTGATTTTTCTTTAACAGATGAACTTATCCATAGGACTTTTATATCCTTTGGTCCTATACAAGAAATAAGAGTTTTTAAAGACAAAGGTTATGCTTTTATCAGGTATGTGTACATTTTTCTACACAAGAAATAAGAGGTTTTAAAGACACTGGTTATGCTTTTCAGGTACATGTACAAGGTCCTACACAAGAAATAAGAGGTTTTAAAGACACGGGTTATGCTTTTCAGGTACATGTACAAGGTCCTACACAAGAAATAAGAGGTTTTAAAGACACGGGTTATGCTTTTCAGGTACATGTACAAGGTCCTACACAAGAAATAAGAGGTTTTAAAGACACGGGTTATGCTTTATCAGGTACATGTACAAGGTCCTATACAAGAAATAAGAGGTTTTAAAGACACGGGTTATACTTTATCAGGTACATGTACAAGGTCCTATACAAGAAATAAAAGGGTTTTAAAGACAATGGTTATTTTTTTTCAGGTACATGTACAAGGTCATATATAACAAATGAGGTTTTAATAACAAGTGTTACACTTTATTGGGTATGTGTACAATGTCCTATACAATTAGTAAGAGGTTCTAAAGACAAGGGTTATGCTTTATCAGGTACGTATACATGTTTCTATACAAGAAATAAGTTTTAAAGACAAGGGTTATGCTTTATCAGGTATGTGTACAAGGTCCTGTATGGAAAAAAAAGAGGTTTTACAGATGAAGGTTATGTTTTTATCATGTTTTTCTACAGTTTTCAACCATAAATGATTTTGTGTAATATTATTTTTTATAGACAGTTGTTAGAGAGAACACATTTATTTGCATTTTTAGTATTATTGATTACTTTTTGTAATTAATATTTGTAAGTCTGGTACCTGTGACTAATGAACAACTACATAATTCTTCCTGAAACTCCAGATTAACACTAACTAGATCCAGTTCTTGAACCCTATTCAATAGCTACAATTTAATATTTTCAACAGAATTACATTTACAGTTTATTTGAGTGAATATTCTTTAAATTACTAGAGTTTTGTGTTATCTCTAAGTCATATAAATTAGTCTTAGAAACAATAAGTGTTTATGCTTCAAACTTGAGATGTGATATTAACAAATAGTTATGTTTAATTTAGAAATATGATTACAAATTACTTGGATTTTGTTTCTATCCACTAAGTCTTAATTTACATTTCCAGGAAGTCTTTGAGGCTTGGTTTAGATTTGTTTCTTGCAGAAGAGTGTTTAAAGTTATTTACACTCCATCTAGATCTAACACCTAGTTTTGTTGTAGAATAATGCATGAGTCTCACTTTAGATAGAAATTCTCATAACATAACCAACTAAGAACAGGTGGGACAAAAAACAGTTTTTTATTCACAAAACCAAGTCATTTCCTTCATCTAAAATGCACAGTTTCAAAATTAATTATGTTCAACCTTGTTTGGTTAATAAAAACAGTATTGTTCAAAACTGCAATTCTCAGTCAAGTATTCTATGAAATTTTTTGCCTCTATTAATATGATAACTTCTAGCAACTTAATGTGAAGAAAATACAATCATACATAAATTATGACAGATCAGAAAGGTGTGTCACATTACTACCAACACATTCTGATCTAAAGTTCCATTAAATAGAACTTTCTGTCATTAATCTAATTGGAATTATTAGATGGCTTGTAACTTCGATTCTCGTTTCTTTGTTTAGTGTCAGCATATTAAAGATCTATAGACCATCCCTCAATCTTTCAGTTTATACATAAGAATAATATTGAAAAAAACATTTTAATACTAATAAAATTTAATTTAACAATCTCTTTTATAATATACAGTGGAATAACTTAGGCAGTTCAGACAAAGGTAAATTATGTTTCATTTAGGAATAGGCCTATAATTTGGACTTGTTATATAGGGGGAAGGATTTCCTGGTAGGATTTCAGTTTCACAGTTTTGTTCATAGGAATGTATGTGTAGCTAGTTTGGTCAAAATACAATATAACTATAGTTTAAAGTGTAAACAAAACAACATATAAATAATCTACAAATTGGAGTGTAAACAACACAACATACAAATCTATAAATTGGAGTGTAAACAACACAACATATAAGTCAGCTACAAATTAGAGTGTAAACAACACGACATACAAGTCAGCTACAAATTAGAGTGTAAACTACACAACATACAAGTCAGCTACAAATTAGAGTGTAAACTACACAACATATAAGTCAACTACAAATCAGAGTGTAAACTACACAACATATAAGGTAGTTTACACTCTGATTTGTAGTTGACTTGTATGTTGTGTAGTTTACACTCTGATTTGTAGCTGACTTGTATGTTGTGTAGTTTACACTCTGATTTGTAGTTGACTTATATGTTGTGTAGTTTACACTCTGATTTGTAGCTGACTTGTATGTTGTGTTGTTTACACTCTGATTTGTAGTTGACTTGTATGTCGTGTTGTTTACACTCTAATTTGTAGCTGACTTATATGTCGTGTTGTTTACACTCTAATTTGTAGCTGACTTATATGTCGTGTTGTTTACACTCTAATTTGTAGCTGACTTATATGTTGTGTAGTTGACACTCTAATTTGTAGTTGACTTATATGTCGTGTTGTTTACACTCTAATTTGTAGTTGACTTATATGTTGTGTAGTTTACACTCTGATTTGTAGCTGACTTATATGTTGTGTAGTTTACACTCTGATTTGTAGTTGACTTGTATGTTGTGTAGTTTACACTCTGATACGACATATAAGTCAACTACAAATTAGAGTGTCAACTACACAACATATAAGTCAGCTACAAATTAGAGTGTAAACAACACGACATATAAGTCAGCTACAAATTAGAGTGTAAACAACACGACATACAAGTCAACTACAAATCAGAGAGTAAACAACACAACATACAAGTCAACTACAAATCAGAGTGTAAACAACAC